GACAGTACAGAGAGGCAAACTGGTGCACATAGAAATAAATCACAGCAGCTCACAGTAGCAGCACACAGATGTTGCCACACCTTGGTACAGAGTACGTGATTTGCAAAAATGCAGAAGGGGGTTCAGCACAGAAAGAACATGTTACCTTCCCCCAGGCTGATTATTATGCGGTGGAGACCGTGACCGGATTCTTCTCCGTGCCCTGGGTGGAGAGAGGGAAGGACGCCTTCCTCTTCTGCCCCCCATGCTCCCACTGCGTCCACCAAAATCACGGCCACTCCCTGCTCGACTCTGCCAGCCATCCTTCCCATCGCGCCCATCACGTATATTCCTCACAGGTGCATCTCGAGTATCTCGCATGTCGCGTGTGTGCCTTGCACTCCACATTGGATCCCGCACATCACGCATCTCTCGCCCATCACGTACACCTCGCCCATCCCGCCCATCCCACCCATCTCGGCCCTCCCGCACATCCCGCCCATCCCGTCCATCCCGCCCATTCCTTCCATCCCGATCATCCCGCCCATTCCTTCCATCCCGTTCATCCCGCCCATTCTTTCCATCCCGTTCATCCCGCCCATATCGCACATCTCGTCCATCACGGATACTACGCCCGTCTCGGTTGTCTCTTCCATTGTGTGTGTCCCGTTCGTCTCCTCGCTCTCCCCCTTCTCGTGGCTCATGGGGCACCTTCCGATCTCGTGAATCATGTTCTCCATGCAATCGCCTAGAACCTCCAACCTCTTGTTCATCCTTAAGATCAGAAGCTAGCCGAGGCTCTCTGCTTGCTCGAGGTCCATCCCTATACTCTTTGGTAGGAGGCGTGCTTGATCGAGATCTACATTCTCTTGATCCTTCAACTGATAGCAGTGGTGCATCAGTTGTGCGCGCACGCTCTGCTTCCAATGTCAAGTCCCCAGTTGATGTAGGACTTCTGTCACCTGGTCCAGGTCCCGCCCTGTCGTTTCGTCCACAAACTCCCTCTTCAGACGGATCTCTCTTCACTGGGTCACTCATCACCCCAGTTGGCTTCTCTGAAAGATCTTGGTATCGTGCCTTCCCTCTGTCTACTGTCAAATCGCAGTCCCCATCCACCTGGCAATTCTCGGCTTGGACATGCCCAGCTTGATTTCTGCGATCATTTGCAGGGCTCTCACTCTCTTCCCGTGGTCGTTTACACCGCTGAAGATGACGACCAGGCTCATCATCCACCAACACCATCTGCCGCCGGCCTGACTCTCCTTTGGTGGGCCGTTCCTCCTCTTCTTGTCCTTCATCGTTCCGGTTATGATCTGCATCTGACAATGCCTTGCTTTCGGTTTTGTCCCTCCCATCCGTTTTCCAATCTATGTCATCTTCAGAGAAACTTCTTTTATCCTCTTTCTGTGGGCTTGGGGAAATCCTCTCTGCCTCCTTCTGCAATCTTTCTGATTCCCATAGAAGACCATCATCACCTGTGCGGTCCACATCTAGATCTCCATCGGGAGTCAGATCTCGATCCCCATCCTTTTTGTGACCTGGATCGTCGTCTCGGTCACAACCCTGATCCCTCTCACGTCCATGACCCCGACCCCGATCCCACATGCGATCCGGATCCCGTTCCTGGCTGTGACCCCGATCCCAATCCCTATCCTGATCATGATCCAGCTCATGGCAATCTTGATTGTAGTCATGGTCAATCTCCGCATCCTGATCATGAACCAGGTCCAGATCTTGGTTTTGAGATGTGTCACAGTTCTTGTCGTCTTCGGCTTGATCACGAGGTATACTCCGTCTCCCCTCATCTCCTCCTGCAGACACATGAGGACTGTCCTGCCTCCTTACTTGCGGGGAGACAGGAAAAGATGTATCAACATCTGCACCCCAAAATGTTTCATCGTCATCCCTCCGCATCTTCTGGACAGGAATATCCATGCCAGTAGGCAACTCTATGTCAGCGCTTGCTACCTCTGAGTCCCGCAATACTTTATCTTCATTAGTCCCCACCACATTATCCTTCCCCTTCTCCTCGGCTGAATCCACACCACCCGTGTCCCCTTGCTGCTGGGGTTCAGGTTTTCCACCCACGTTATGGCCCTGATCATTGTCCTTCACAAGGTCTTCCCTACAGGACTCGCTATGCCGATCAACTTTTGAATTATTGTCTACCAGATCCGACGAGCTTGGCTCACTTTTATGTCCACGCACGTGCCGTTCTTCCCTCGACAATTTCTCACACCGAGCTTCAGATCGCTCCTCAACAGGCTCGCGAACCCCCCTAGATTCACGCTTGTTGTCTGTGGCCGGCCTCTCACTCGCCACCACACTGCTCTCTTTTCCAGGATGTCGATCCCCATGGAGCTTTTCAGAGCGTCCCTTTTCACAATCCGCTGTTCCCCGATCATCACGGACCCACTTCTCGTCATGATGCCTCCTCTCTCTCTCACTGCCTGCATACCTTTCCTCGCCCCGAAACTTCCGCACACCCTTACCATCTTGTGAGCCATCAGGCCGCCTCTCCGAGTCTACAAATCCACGGACCCTTTCACCCCTCCTGTCATGTTTTGCGTCCATCCTGTCGTCATATTTCCTTTCCTTATCAATCACAGCCTCATCGTTCATCCAGTTCCTTTCGGCTCTTCCATGAAATTTCTGAACGTGTCTCTCCTCCTGTCGACCATCCTTTTGTTTTTCCATTTCATGGCTGCCTCCCCTTCCATACTTGTCCTCACTCAACTCATTGGCGGGCCATCTTCGTGCACGCTTCACATCCTCTTGCCTCCAACCATCATTCCTTCGTCGTTCGTGAGCACCAAAACCTTCCCTCGCTTCCACCATTCCTTTCCGAGAACGATCCTCGTTCACCTCAGGCCCACGCCTGTAGGCCCGCCCTGCATCTCCATGGAAACGTCTGGGAGGCTCATGCCCATTGCCAACCATGCTGCTGCAATTCTATCTGCCGTGCCCCTTCCTCCTCCTTCAGGCTCCTCAGCAAGAAAACAAAACCACCGACCTTGAATCCTTGCAGATTGATTTCATCAACTCCCCGCTGCACGGGTTCAGTCAACTCGCAAGTGGATCAACTCGCCATCAGCTGATACATGACAAACACACAAAGTACGACTCTAAGCTGCAAGCATTCAATCAGAAAAAGAGGTGAAAGCTGCAGAAGTGCTGTTTGCCATTGCAGCTGTGGTTGAGTGCACAATATCCAGCTGGAAACACGGCAGCAGCAGCAAGAGTACTTTTTTTTGCCAACAAAAAATGAGCTGAAGCCTGAAAGACAATTTTGAATTCCGCAAACTAGAAACGGCAAGATCACAACCACTGCGTGAAACGTCCTTAGCGGAATTACATCGATAGCCAAGTCGGCAGCCTCCTCCATTTTTGAATTCCTATACACACTGCATGCAAGACCAATCTACAACTTCAAACCCCATAATACCATTGGGTCTGCATAAGGCCACTTTTTTACTTCAAGATCCCTGAACGTCTCGAACTTTTGGGTCTCGCAAATCGGAGATGCGATGTCATCAGGGAATGCCCCAGCCCAATTCTACCAATATAGAACAGCATTTCTACCTTCAATACTCAAGGCTGCTATAGAGCAACACATACCGATGGTACGAACCGTTGAACCTATGTGTTAATAATGACTTGATACAGATGCAAATGTGCCAAACCGAGCCACGCACAGCATGCAGAAAAATAAGCCACAAACCATCCACAAACAAAAAAAAAAAAAAAAAAAAAAAAAAGACATCCAACCAGAGATGCAGCTAACTCCAAAACTTATCCCATTTCATTCGCCCCATTCCATCCATGCATTTCCATGCCAGGAGCAGAACAGCAAAGACCAGAGTGCAAGGGACGACTATACCAAACCAAAGAACTCCATGAACAAGAAGCAAGAGACATTAGCACAGTTGCCTCTCCCTCTTTCTGTTGCAGAATGGCCATTGCCCGTTGCACCGTACTTACCCATCAAACAACCAAAGATGCAAGCAAAGCAACCAAGCACGTTATAATAAACTTTCGCAAGGAGGTTGGCATCCGACCGAGTTAGCAAAGGTCCAATTGTGTCACATCCACATGAAAAGGACCTGAGTCGTCTGAAGAAGGAACTTGATGAACCGGAAGGAGAATGCAGCTGGCACTTTTGACAACGTGCCAATCAAACGAGCACTCTCTGATAAAAATTGAACGCGAACAAGTGGATGCAAACCATAGGTCTGATCTGATCGAGTCCAGTCCGGTGCGGTGGGGTCCAGTCTGGTCCAGTACAGTCCGGTCTCCGCGCAATAGGCCATCACTCACGCGAACTCACGACGGGTGGAACCGTACGATTGGAACTGATCACACGCAGAGTTCAAGAAGAAGAGTGGATGTACATGCTTTTGCCACTAGCAGGCCCCCTGCACGATTGGTTCAGATTCACTAAGAGTTTGGAGTCAAAAGTCAGGGGCAGGTACATCGATGGAACAAATGCCTGGCTCCTGGGTACTTGTGAGAAGCAGCCTCCAGAAAACTGGCCACCATTCATCCTGGGGAATCCTGTGCAGGTTGCTGGTGGTTCAAGGTAAGGTAGGCTACGAGTTCAGGCCGAACGCACGGAAGCAGTGGTTGCTGGAGCAGGGGCAAAGCACACAAAAGTGCAAGATGCGCCTTGTAGCACAACCAGTGCCAAGTCACGCACTTTACCTCCCAATGCAAACGAGGTACTGGTAATGCGTGGAGTGTTTCTTCCATCGCCCTAAATTCCTGCAACGAACAGCAACAGCAGCACGAAGCAGCAACAAGCTGCCTGTCTGCCAGACCTTCAGGCAAGGGGGCTGGAATGATGACCACCTGCAGTACAGGATGGTTCACACCACTGCTGTGCATACAAGGCCCCCGTTAGACACTGCCAGCATCAGGTGCACTTCACATGGATATCAATTTTGAAGCCCACAAATTCGACGATGAAGCAGTGAAGCACTCGCCAGCCTAGAATGTATTCTGGTTGTTGGCCTTCCCAAGTTAGCATCCCATTGGCCTCAAATCACTGGTACTCAGACCCAGAGAGAATTCTGGTCTCCGAGGAACACACAATCATCATGGAGATGAGACAGGCTCCCTGCGAAAGACCACGCCAAATCACTCTTTATTAACATCAAAATGTACTCTCGCGCATGTACAGATAGAGGCAAAGAAAGAGACAGAACGCTGTTTGTTTGCCGAAGACCGACATCTTACACAGCAACTGCGCCCTCATGACAGAATACATCCCACAGCTGCAGCACGTATCGTAAATCCATATGAAATTGCATAGCGGCGAAGATATTCTCCTTCTTTCTCAATAACTGAGCGAGCACCTGGAAATTTTTGAAACCCTACTTGCCTGACCCAAGCCATGCAAGCACCATCAGCCAGACAAGACCAACTCCGCTTCTACAAACTACAGACACTCCAAGCTGCAGATGAAATCTTTTAAAACGAAGTGCCTATTAATTGTATCTCGCATCAAAGGCAGGCACGGACAAACGAGGGCAGTGTTGGCAAGCCTTCGGCTGTTCTTTGGGGGTCTGTGATGACACCTCATGGTGTGAGGCAACCACCGGGCACACCCACAGTGCACTTGAGTACATTGAGTTTTTGCACTCAGATACTTCGTCATGGACGAACGAGGCGAGTGTCGGCAAGCCTCGAATGTTTTTTTCCTCTGGAGTGATCGCGCCTCGTGGCAAGAGGCAACCACCAGGCACATCCCACATGACATCCACCAGTGGATGTGCTTCGACGAACATCAACTCATAGAACAAGACCATACCTAAATGCCCACAGGCTCCAGGTAGAACACTGCAAACCTTACAAACATATAACAGGTGTCAGAGCATCCATCCCTACCATCTTCACCCGAATACAACGCCCGGTCATTATAGCCGTATTCGGTGCAGCTTTCAGTCTACATACAGCGATAATGACCGGGCGTTCTATTCAGGTGAAGACAGTAGTCTGAGGATTTCCATGACCGTTGTGGGGTCCTGAGCTTTCAGTCACTCAGCCAAACATCACAAGCTGATTTGACCACTGTCAGGTTGGCACTGCGTAGAGCAGCACCTTTGCAAACTCTCCAAGGTCTGCGTAACAGCACAGACGGATACTTCACCACACCTGTGTGCATTACCTGTGCATTCAATTTCACTTCCTGTATTTTTTCTTCGTATAGTTCTGCGCACTCTTCTTCACACACCATCCCGGCCAACGCCAATGCAAGCATCCACAAAGTAACTGGTTGGATAGAGGTGCAGAGAAATAAAACCCGTTCGTTATGAGTTGCCACAGCGACCCTGCACCCAGGGAGACTTCGCCACACCTGTGTGCATTACCTATGCAGTCCCTTTCACTCCATGCATTTTTTTTCGAGATAATTTTGCCCACTCGTTGTCTTCGCACACCATCCCGCCCAGCGACAATACAAGCATCCACGAGTCCCGCCCAATGCCAATACAAGCATCCATGAATTAACTGGTCAGATAGAGGTGCAGAGGAATAACACCCGTTCGTAAGTAATTGCCACTATGACCGTCTTATGTCTGCCATAGAGATGTAACCCTCTTCGATGCATAGTATACCCCAGTGCTCCCCCC